TTGGGTGATGGATTCTTGATTCAAAATATAATAAGCCTTATCACCATAATATCATCCAATCAGAGAGCAGAATGAGTCATTTGGCTGGTTTTTGCTCCTTCTTTTACACACACACAATTTACACACAAACAAAATTGCACATTTGTTTGAAACAAATCAGATACAAAAATAAGTAAAAGGCAATACAAAGAGTTTGTACAGATTCTGTCTAAACCCCAGCAGGTGGATTGCATCAGTAACCAGTGTTTAGAAGGCACATCTGTCAATGGTTGGATGGTAATAGTAAGGACTTTCTTAGACCAATAAGAGTGCATGTCACATACTTCCCCTTTAAGAATTATGTGAGCAGATGTCAAAAAAAATATTAATGAAGAATAGCAACCAATAACAACAAACTAAAATATACCCAAAACGGATTTATTTTGTATAGTCTCAGATCAAACCAAAAAAGTCATGTAAGCGAATTCAATGTTGGATTTTAGTTTAGTCTATTTCACACAATTTTTGATAATTCAAAAACAATTTCAGACACATGGGGGAAAAAAGGTCATTCTGCACATTAGATCTATGGATATTTCAACCGCAGACCTGTTTCTAACCCGTGTCTAAACATAGACAGAGCCGATATTTCTTCTGCAACAACCTCTACACGCCTCAATGTGAAACACTAACTCCCCATCAACATCTACTGCACATTTGAGAGATTGCTGCCATATTCTCCCCCAAATGGAAAAACGTAAAATGGTGCTAGTTGCTGTACTGGACATCCACTGAACTACAGACCACCAGCATAATCATAGTAAAAGGCCGGGCCATATGATTATCTACGAGTCTGTCACTGGCATTATGAATAGCAATGAGTCACCAAGGCCTTTGTGGAGCTCAGACTAAAGTACAGCCTGGTAACTGAGTGCAGAGGACATAAACAGCCTTGGAAAGTCCCAAGGAACCTATTACAGCCTCAATGTTACTTTTAAGCAGAAGAATGTTTAATCACTTTTCAGATTACATTGAAATGCGACGGAGATAAGTAACTTGGTTTGGAGAAAGGCTTTTGTGATTTCTGCTTCTGCCTGAAGAGCCCCAGCATTTTTGGGACGGAGCATCTGTCAAAATGTTTTATATGAAGTTATGTTTATGAATTATTTAGCGCTTGAGTTGACAGGGGCTGTATAAACTAAACAGAACAAGCAAAAACCAGACTAAAGGAGGGGTTTATCGTTATGCCGCTTTGTGCCTACATCTAAATTAGGAAGCCACAGTGCTGCTAATCAGATAATATGTATTTGTATTTCTGTATTATTATGTGTTTTTATTGTGTTGTTTTATATTGTCCGTACAGCACTTTGGTTGGCCTAGGCTGTTGTAAATGTGCTCTACAAATAAAGATTGGATTGATTGAATGCTGGTCAACTAATATCTAACATACACGCATTTTGTTTAATAAATGTGTTTTTGTTTTGTGACATTCCTCCACGGTTTGTAAGGTTGAGATTGTGTGTGTCTCTACCGTGTCATCAACATGAACTGAAAGCTGGGGTACCAAACTTGTGTGTTAAATGAATAATGCATTGTGTTTGTCCCAGCAGAGACTTTTGCATGTCTGTTCAAAAGAGCCCTGTGCGTCATAATTTGAAGCTTTGAGCGGCTGCAGATGGACTGAGTGAGGGTGGAGCTATTTTTTTTTTTTTACTTTTCTGTGTGAAAAAGCTGATCTAATAATTGTACAAAAAGACCAAAAAATGCATGTGAAAAAATGGTATTCAACTTGCAAAACATAGTTCAATTTTGTATCAAATATTAGTATCTATTAAATATTAGTATCAAGTGTTTAATGGGGGGGGGCGACAGTAGCTCAGTTGGTAGAGCATTGGCCTTAGAGCCTGAAGGTTGTGGGTTCGAGGCTACCACAAGACCTATTTCACGACTTCCACTGATGACTGCTGTCATTGTGCCCTTGGGCAAGACACTTAATCCCACTTTGCCTGAATCCCCCGCTGGAAGATCAAGGCCCCAGTGGACTCACCACCTGCAGGAGGATCAGTGAGGAGCTGGTGCTATGTGGACTGGGTGCAGCCCTGACTGCCACCCCCCAACCCAGAAATGGAATAAGGGGAAGAAAATGGATGGATGGAATTTAGTTTTCCATCCATTAGTTTATCTTATCTTCATTTGCTGTGGTTTGAAAGTCATGTTCCCCAGTTTTAACTTGACATTCTAAATTTGAAAACTGCCTCATAATTGGTGTTGAAGCAATGATGGTGCAGTCCTCCAGTGATGATCCGGGACATTTAAGAACATTTATGAACATTCCTGAACATTGGTTTATCCTGCTCCCTATGGACCAATGGCTCCTATGTGTTTGTTATCATTCCATTTCCTGTGTTTGAACTGTTTGATTCTCCAATCTGTTGTTGGTCATTCAAGGCCCTTGTATAATCATGCTGCTGGGATTTAGGGCTATACAGAAAATACCTTGAAATGAATTGAATTGACAATCACAATTCATTTTACCACACATGAGGCCAAGTCATACATAATGTTTTCCAAATATTCTAGCATCAGTACAGAAGGCCACACACACACCTCTCCACGGTCATCATGACACAGCTATGTCCCATTATCCCTCCGCCCCTTCCCCATACCCCTCCAACCACTTCGCCAGCTCAAAACAAAGCACAAAAACAACCATGCTCGCAATCGGCCATGATGGCACATGTCAGAAACAAAAACTTCCCATAACCGCATCAGCAGCCCGTTCACCGCGCCCTGTACCTCCTGTAATAAGACAAAATAGCCGTGGCAGTTTGTTTGAGTCGGGAGGGGGGCGAGTGCGGAGAAGAATGGAAAGTATACAAGCTCCAAGGGATAGCTCTTACCTTCCTGGACCGCCTGGAACGGGTTGTTAGGCTCGATAAGTTTCACAGAGTGGGTGATTTTCTCGCTCTGCAAAATGTCATCGTTCAGGCTCAGGTCGGAGATTGCGAGCTGGAAAATCTCGTCATCTCGCGCAGCGTTTTCCTCAAAGATGGCACCTGAAAGATATAAATGACAGCGCGATCAGAGCTACGGACAAAGTATGACAGACTGGAAAATCACATTGAACAAAGCTGGAGAGTAGCCCAGGTCAAACTACTCAAGTCGATTCGATTACAACAGTTTAAATCAGGCAATGGGTGGTAGAATGCGATGAATGCCATGGGGATGGACTCTATCTAATGCCTAATATATCTGTGTTCTTCACTGATACATTGATTTGGCCATAATACATGGCTATCAAAATATCAATTCAAGGCTGGAATGGTGGGTACTGTGATTTTGTAACATCTTCGTACATAGCAAAGCAAAATAATATTTCTATCCCTGGTGCATTCCTCTATAATATATGCATCTTTAAAGAGATGAAATTATCATAATTTAAATTTGAAAGGAAATCTTAGAAGCCTTTCCTCTTCGTTTCAGAACCATGGACAGCGACTCAGTGAAATTCACCATACCAGGACATTTCCTCTCATTTTCTACTCATTCGCATAATTTTCTACTCCAAACATTATGGAAGAATGGAGGGAGGCAGAGTTTGTGTTTTATCCAAATGTGATACACATACAACATCAAATGCCTTAGGGTATGTGCATTCACAATCAGTCCAAAGACGAGCTCCCAAGTAACTGCATAAGTAAAGTCTTGGTCATCAAAAAATATGCATATTGTGGTCTTATATTCAAAGTCATATTCTTTTCTCAAAAACACTTTTACATAATGGACTAATTACAAACGGCATGAGAGTCTATCCCCCAACATTTAGATACACATATTCATTTTGTTGTATTCATAAAGTTGTGGAGGTTGTTGGAATATCTTCACTTAGTAAATGTTTGGATTGTCGACAAAACCTGCCTTATGCAGTATGTAGGTGGACAGGTTTTGTGAGGTTTTAAGGAGGTATTTATGAATCACAATTGTTCCACATCTATTTCAAGATTGCAGATCATGTTGTTCTGGTGTACCAGTAGAATACATAATACATGTGTACGAGGATGTGGAAGCGGCAACAAATGAATCTACAAGATTAAAGGAAGACGTTTGAGTCCTAATGTGATGAGGCAAATGAGTGTCACGTTTGTTCCAGCAGTGCAGGCCCCTGCGTGGGAGGCATACTGAGCACCCCATCCACCCCCCTCTCTCCCCCCTCATATTTATCTTAATATCAGAATGGCTTTTTACTGCCACCTACTTCCTTATCCCCTTTCATTACGTCTAAAGCTTTGAGGACTCTAAAAGTACAATCATCCAAAGCTAACGTTATGCGACGCGCGAGCCAATGCGATCTGGATGGAGTCCCACCGCTGTATAAAGGCAGCAGTGACGGAGCACCTGCTGCTTGCCAGACTGTTGCGGTAAACTGAGAGCGCATGCAGTGGCGAGCGGTGCAGAAATGACGGACTCAAGACGCACTGGGGGCAGATGTGTCGTTATCTGGAGATGCAGATGTTACATCTCTTCTCACCATTGTCAAAGCGCACACAGTCACGCAGTGTGAAGGGACAGCTGATCAATTAGAAACTATCGAAATCAACCAAAAACGGGGGATGGCAGTTAAAGCCTTTTGAATGAACAGCATGTCGTGATTGGATGAGGCAGATCGCGTTTTGGAAGTTTGCGCACAAAGGGGCTCTGTGTGATTTGCGTCTGTATGGGAGTCCACTGAGATCCATCCTGTCTGCACATCGTCATGGCAGTCACGTAGCAGGTGAAAGTTGTGGCTTAAGACAAGAGCTAGCTATGGTTTTGGGCAAGTGGCGTGCGTTTTAGACGAGGGCTACGCATCCCCGACTGAATTGTCAAACTGTGCGTTAGATCAAATCAAAAGGTACCGGATCCAGATCCACTGGATCCAGAGTACATAGAAGGCGCACACCAAACGCACAGATTCTGCGGGTAAGGTCAGAAGCACAAACTTTAGAACTCTCTGGAGAGGAAAGTCTTGCTTTAGCGCAGAATTTCAAGCTGAAAATAAGGTATATACCACCCTCTCCCTCCCAAAAGCCAGATCAAAGCATTACGCACTAAAGGCTTTTAACGTGCATGCACCAACTGCATACGTGATCGTTCTGCTTACCAATGTGTATGATGGAGTCTGCTCTGGCAGAATTACATTGAAATATCCACAGGGAAACGCAGATCAGCAGCAACTCCATGTCGGGATGAGAGCGAGGCAGCGCATCCAAGCTTCGCACCTCTTCGCTGTTGCTGTACTGTCCAAACGGAGGAGAGAAAAGAGGGAAAGGCAAAAAGATCACAGTTTGGTCCACGGGCTTCGAGGATAACGCAGCAAATGAAGTGATCAGCGCAAAACAGGGAAAGCTGATGAGGCGGAGAAGGGGGGAAAACTAACCCAAAAGCAAGGTAGCCCGTGGAGAGAGCGCACCGTTTGTGTCTCACTCTCGCCTCTCTCCCTGCGCCCCGGCGTCTATCGTGGCGAGCAGCGAAGGATGCGGAGGAGGGACACCCCTTTCCAAGCGCGCAGAATACGCACACACACGCGCACCCACACACACAAAGACACGCAGATACACACAGAGAGAAGACGAGAGAGTAACGCACTCCTCAGTTCGGCTCTGACCACGTGACTGCAGACACTTCACGACTCCAGCGTTGTCCCGACACGCCAGCTACAAATGATTTGGACTGGAGCCGGAGAAAGACGCGCGAGCAACGACCACCGCTTCAACAACAGAGCAGGGAGGAAGTGTCCCCAACTGTGGCTACGCGCACGAAGACACTTGAGAGGAAACTTTGCGCACAAGAGACGCACAAGCCAACGCGCACACTTGCAATTTTTTCTTTCCTCCACCCTTCCTTTCCGAGCGGCAGAGGATGTGGCACACAACCGGATTTACAGCGCGCGCACCACACCTCTCTCCTCCGTGATGGATGAGGGACAGACGTGACAAAAAGCACGGAGCAACACGGACTACAAAGCAGAAGACAAGTCCCTCTGCTGGACTCGGTATATTTATTTTACGTGACAAACATTTACAGCTTGATTTGTGTTGTTAATTGTTTCTTCTTAATTTTTTTTTCTTGTTTTTTTTTTGTATAGGCTCGGTGTTATACGCGGATGCCGGCTACGTGGTGTCACTGTTTCGCCTGGAGGAGAGCGATATTGAGGCAGCCATAACCTTACAATTAAAGGATATTTCTCGTGCGTGTCTAGAGAAACGGAAATATCTCTTAATTGTTGGGCTACGGCTGCCAGGAGCGCGGGAGGGAAAGTTTCAGCACCAGCGGCAGTGGACAGCGCCGCCGCAGCAGAAAGACCTGTGGAGCAAGCGAGAGGCTGTGTTTTTGGTGTGTGTGTGTGTGTGTACGTGTGTGTTCATATTGTAAAGTCCTATACGCAGAAGCATAAACTGTCTTCAGTATCCGTGCGCCTGATTTACATGTATGTCTTTCAAATCAATGGTATCGGGTTTACTTTGAATCTCATAAAAGTTGGCAAATCGCACACTGCCCCCACCGGCCGAATTGAAGAAACTACAGCTGTGATCACCCAAAAGGAAAAAATTGAAATCTGTATTTCATCACATGTCCTGTGAAAGACTCTCTTATAGCTCTTTGGGTTTTGTGCTTGTTTTTCATATAAAGAATTTTGAGAGTGAGATGGTTGTTCTCAACGTGTTTTGTCAGAGCACAGGTGAGAAATGTTCATCCTGAAATGTTTAAACTATTGAAAAAAAATTAAATATGTCATGCAGAGTATTGTATTAAAGTGATTGTCTGGAGTTTGTCAGAAAATGAGAGAGGGGGGGTACTTGATTTGAAAAAAACGACGCTAGCTCCCTCCCCCCTCCTTTCTGATTGGACTACACCTACGTTTCCGTAACACTTTTAAATGTTAATCTGACAACACATTATGCATATATATTATTAATACACATGCACAAAGGTTTTCAGAATTATTTGTTAACGTTTTAATGAAAAAAAGAATGTTTTTATGCACCAAAAAAGCGATCGTGGCAAACTAGGAAGAAGCTATTATCATGAATTGAACATTATAGGACACATCTGCAGAGGATCTAATTATGGAGGTTCAGTATATAAATGAGTAACTCAGCGCGGATGTTCAGAATTCTTTGTTCAGTTTTCATGTAGTTCCAGAGCCTAATGGAGGCTTGATTCGGAGGTTCCACAAAAACAAACAACTGAGCATGCGCAGAGCTGCGAGCATCAGCGCCGATGATTGACAGACAGATGATTGGTTATCCCGCTTCCCACGGAAAAATGGCTTGTATGAGTTTGTTATTATTGATTCTCTGATCTGTTGTTCGTATCTTGACAACTTTACAGTCACTTTATAGAGGGGTCCTGGCCACGGACAAGACGAGCCATTGTAAAAAAAAAAAATTTTAGTGGGAACCGGAGCACCTGGAGGAAACCTATAGCCAGACACATGGACATCCCTTTGTTCCCCTAATGCGATAAAGCGTACAGTTTTATCAACGTGGAATCATGCAGGAGACGTGCCACCTGCTTTAATTCATTTTTGTGTGTGTGAGTCTAGATCTAAGCTCTGCCCAGGCACAAAACACAGGTCCTTTCAACACTATTGTAGAACTCACCTTGTTATTTCAGTGGGAAATCAAATTGAATGTTTTATGAAAGAGCAGATTGATCGTAACTCGTATGAAAACCCAAAGATTAACCTTGAGTCGGGGGATTGAATCTGACAGGCATAGAGAGGATCATCAAATATTTACTCAGTTAATCTCTTAATTTCATCGATCTCTGCGGCAACATGTATCAGAGTTCCAGGACTCCTGTATAGCTGCACTTTCACACACTGCAATGAGAGGCTTAAGTTTTCTTCTCTCTAGTGGTTTAATGGATCTTTTCACACACAGTTATATTTGTCTTTCCGCAATAAGCGCTTTCTCAATAAAAGCTGCAGTTATCATATTATCTTGTTTTTAAAAGAAAATCCTAAACACTGTAGACCAGAAAACAAACCCCTATACTGTAAAAGGGGAAGACACATGTAACACCTTAAAGGGGGCACAATATAGTGGACTTTTAGGAGCTATGTGGTTGGCGCTTCACAGATAGAAGGTCCTGGGTTCGATTCCACCTTCAGCCTTACAATGTGTAGTTTGCATGTTCTCCATGTGTTTGGTTAGGTTTCCTTCAGGTGCTCCAGTTTCCCCCACAACTAAAAACATGTATGATAAGTCTGAATGTAATGAGTGAGTGAACAGTGGGTTAGGGTCGGATGAACCTGTTTCTATTACTAAGCCATATTTAGATAAACATCACAACCCACAGTGGCACATAAATGTTAATGAAAAATGACTGGGTAAAATAGTTTAGTAACAAAACCACCAAATTAACCAAAATGTGTCTCTTTTAAACCAATGCACAAACAGCAACCTTGATGTAGTGCAGAGATGGGTGGATATATCTTAGCAATTTGATGCATCCCCACATCACCCTCATTGCCCCTATTTTTTTCCTTTCCTTTTTGTGTAACAATTTGCATACATGTGTCTAAAGTGGTGCGTTAAAAAGTACACTATGGGAGGCTGTCGACTTGGGGCAGGGGTGCTGTTCCAAGGACCTCCCCTATGTGCCCTGTATCCCTAGCAGTTTATATGTATAATTATTATTATTATTATTTTCCCATCCTTGAGTTGTAGTGCATAAAAACCACAAATGAGTGTGGTGGAAGGATTGGGGACAGCTGTGACAATTATTTTTGACCATCACAAAATTCCATATTTAGCAGTAATGTAGCAGAGATGTGAATCCATATGGACGTTATCATTTTAAAGCCCAGAGGAGCCCATGTACAAAACAGTTTTAAAAAAGTGGCCCTCTTATTAAAAAGTTTGGACACCCCGGTTGTAGATTGCTTTCGTGAAAGAACTGCAGAACAACATGTTTTCTTTTTGAGTTCTGTGAGATTCAAGATACAAAGAAGAGTTATTTTAAGAGCAGGTGTTTTGATGCAGTTTATTTATTGTCCACTCGTCGCACAGACAAGAGAGAGAGCTCTGTAACTATGGATACAATCTTTAAGACAGATCTCTTTAGTAATCTCCAGATAATCTTTGCGATTTCTGTTTTGATGATATGTTCAAAGTACACATGGAGAATTTATACATTATCAGATTTAAGTCAGTCCCAAATGCACCCAGAAAACACTTAAATCAAGCCCCATATTAACTGATCATGGGATTTTTTTACATTTCCATTTTTTTTGGACAACAAGCAGTTGAAAGTTGCTTCACCAACAACAGCTCAGAAAAGCAAACAAAGGTGATGCAATAATAAACACATAGGAGCCATAGACCACAGCCAACCGACAAACTACAAACATCTGTTTCAATGTTGTCCTCTATAAGGTGCTAACAAGTGCTGAAATGATGAGGATTTTTGATTGCTCGCGGTTCATATAAGAGCTTTCATTGCTATCCCAACGACTGGCATTTATTGTGATACACCTCTCAAAATATATCTTCGAAATGAGTGCAAAAATGTATGTGAAACTTTTCTTGGGGCATATGAAGCTTGCACTTGCCTGAGGGCTTGGATCTGGGAGAGGCCTGTGATCCGACCCACAAGGAGGAGAGCAGGTCCTGGAGAGCAGCCCCATAACCCGCTCAGCTTGTGTGGCTGTCAAGCACACGGCTCAGAGAACATGTGAGAGTGTATTTTTCTTTGGCTTCTTTGTTTTCCTTCCCATTGTTACAGGACGTACGTGCAGACAAGTCCCATACAATCACTGCAGAAAATAAAATACACATACTCGGTAGGTTTATGTTTTTGATCCCTGTGAAAATGGTTGATGGTTTTGGTAACAGACACTTCATATTTTTTTTAAATTATCAATCTTTTGCACCGCTTTAAAATAAAGCAGATAAAAAAAAATACTTTTGGGAATGATTGGAACTGATTTTAAGTACAAGGGAAAGTATTTAAAAGCCTTTATTGATACAAAACAGACATGACAGTATTGATTTATTATAACAAAATATCATTAAAAAAAACAAAAAACCTTTTATTCATTTGGGCCCCGGACAGTTTTTATTTTGGCAGAAGGCTGAAATACAACCAAAAGAGCTTGACACCCTGTCTATGCTTTAGAATAATTTATGGCACGTCTACAAGTGTGTGTTTATGATTCCTCTGGGCTAGTGTT